AGTTAAATAAGATATAAGAAGTTAATTATATCTATATCTATATCTCATTATATCTAATTGTATCTAATTATATCTGTGTAGAATTTTTGCATTGTTAGGGCTTGAGTGGACTTCCATGGAATGTTCTGATTTATGGGAATCATGAAGTGGTACTGCAGTAACAGTACAGACCTTTTCTTTTAGAGAAACTGAATTCTATGTCTATTAGATTTTAGTTCTTTTAATGATGACTCCTGCATCTTGAAAGGAAGGAGGTACTGCAGGTGTTCTTCAGGTTCATTGCAACAACTGCCAGGCTACAATTGGGTGATTCTTATACATTTCATTGTCACTTCAATAGTCTAAAGCTCAAAATCTTGTGTCTATCTTAGGAATGTTTTTGTTTTTTTTTTTTTTTTTTTCCCGTTTATGTGAGTATGTGGTACAGTTGCTTACAGAAAATCTTAATGTATAAATTTGTTTAGCAAGCAAGGAGGTCATTCCTAGGAGGTTGGTCTTTTTTAGTTTTATATATTCTGAATTTGTAATTATTGTTCTGGGTGTTAAATATTTTAAGTTAATCAGCTGGGACAAGTGCATGCAGGTTGACCAGGAACACAATTCACAAAGTCTGGAATTCTGGATCATCATATTATTCTTCCTTTGCTTGTTTCAAGAGCTCACAGTAAGGGATCAGTATTAGTAATAGGTCTTTCTTTGAGTAATTGGACACCAGCTAAAGAAAGTGGGTTTTTGCCTGTTACATGAAATCTACTGTATATAATGTTTCATAAAAACAAGGCTACTTTCATGTGTGAATTGTTGCCATTTTAGTTTTACTGTATGTATTCATTCTTCATACTTCCTTCATCCTTACTGAATTGGAAAGTAGGTTTTCCTTGTTGATCAGGCCATTTATTTTTTATCAGTAATGAGGAACTGAGGCTGTGTAAGAATAAAAAAAGGCTACTAGAGAGTTACTAAGAAAGTGTCACGTGTAATCCTGTTTCCTCCCAGCTATTATCTCACATATCTGTAATTTTATAAGAACTTCCTTAATAAATTAGTGAGAAGATTAAACAGTCATTTATGATTCAGGTCAGTAGAATCCAGGAATTTTCTGCTTTCTATTTGGGGAATGTCAGTATCTGCAGTAGAATGAATCAGCTGTGTAGGCGTTATGGCACACATCTGAGAAACTATTTAGTGGTCAAATCTTCCAGACCAGGTGCCGTATTCATATGCTGGCCTGTTGTTTGTCATATCATGGTCTCTAAGCAGAAAGGAAATACCTTGTTAGTCAGCAGCAGTAGACATCATGTGGAAAGTCACTTGAAGATGAAATAACAATTACCTGCCTCAGAACAACTTGAAATTACTTCCAACACATTACATATATTTTTATGTGCTTAATTGCAAAGTGCTCCTGTGACATTCTGTACTCACAGCAAAACTGTGGGAGAGTTTACTTACTCTATTCTACACCTTGCAGTAATGAAGAGTCACAGGCAGTATCCCAAGACTAAAGATGCTGCCGGTCCACCTAATCTAAAACTACATGTGATATGTATGTTTACCAGAGATGTATTTCTGAGTTGAGCTGAAAGTTCACAGTTACTGCAGAGTAGGAAGCAGTATATATTTATGTTCCTGTATGTCATATTTTCTATTTTGTTTAAGCTGTTTATGGGTTTAGTTGAGGTATCTAATGTTACTAATTTTATTTCTCTTATTGAAGTTCTTCAGTTTACCTGTTGGTCACTCTACTTGTATCATGTCTTGAATGGCCAGTAAACATCCTTTTTTATAGGTTTTGTCAGCTTCTGTGCTAAGAGATTATTCCTCAAACAACTTAATACATAAAATTTATTTTGATTTGCTTGTTCACATTTGTCTTCTCTTTAGCTGGAAGTCTCTACTTCTGTGATCTCAAATATAGGGATGTGTTTTTGTCTTATGTCTGGCTCTGTTGCTGACAACATAAACTGAATTGGACCCTTCTATTTCTTTACTGTACTTAGAATCTTACTTTTTTGTAATATAATTAAGCATTGATGTTATGTAAGGATGTGACTGTTGACATTTACTTGGGATGTGTTTTATGTGCAGAATAGAACTGCATTTACAGAATAAGCAGCATGTTTTACGTTAGAATACATGTGTGAAGTAATCCTTTCTGAATTAATTGTGTGAACTACCTTATTATTTTGTGTCCTTCATATCCCACACTTTAATATACTATGGTAACTCAGTGAAATTCTCTAACTAAAATTTAATGCTGCTCATTACTTAGTCTTTTAACTACTTCTAACAGCTTTAATCTTAATATATACATGGTCTGTTCTTGTCTCTGTGTTGTACTCTCTCATTTACTTTAGCTAATCTGTTTCTTTTGTATATCTTAAACTCCTTTTTTATTTCACTATGCAGCTCATGATTGCACCCTGATATACCTGTATCACATCTAGAATTTAGGACTAATGAGTAGTTGTACAATTGCCTGAAATTTATATCTTGTTATTTGAACTGTGACAAAAATGTAGAATGTTAAAGTATAAAACCACTAGGCCTCTTGGCAAAGCTTTAAATATTTTTTTTATCACTCATAGCAAATGAGCCTTGTCATGTAGAATCATTGTGGAGATTGACCTGTCTATATGTGTAATTTATTGTTCCTAAAATTTGAGTGCCTACAACTCAATTAAGCTTACAGGGTATTATTTGTCAAACATCATCTCTGCTTTTGTTATGAGCTCAACAGTTTTGGCAGTTGCACATTAAAACCATGAAGATAAATGTGGTCACGTGTTTCTTATGCTACAAAATACTAATACTCCAGGAAGCTTTACCCTTGTTAAAAAGTTCTAATAGCCTGGAAACACAGTTTACAATTCCAAGTGATTACTAACTTTTTTTATGCTAGTTTTTCTGATGCTTCATGGGAACATGTTAAAAGGATTAATTTGTTAAATTCATTTAATAGATACACAGAAGGCTATTACAGAGAATATGTCTTTTGCCTTTCATTTGTTGTCAACTTTTATGTCAGGTGATCCTTTCAAATGAATGTCCTTGGGAAGTGATGATTCTAACATTATCAAACTGCTTTTTATTCCCTTGAATTAAGATTTTTTTATTTTTTCATGGTAGAAACTGGCTGTAATTCTTGAAACCAAGCTGTTTTATAATACTCATTCATTAACTTCCAATTCTATGTGTTATACTTGAATATACACTTGAATTATTGTTATACTTGAATATATACTTGAATTGCACCATGGCTAATTCCAGCAGTTACTTATCTTAGTAAAGCATTCTGCCTTGGAGTACTGCAAAAGCCATGCAAATAGTGCTCAAGATACTGTTTGCTATTCTCTGATAAATGGAACATTCATACAGGCAGTAACTGCTGGAAACTGCAGTTAACAATGACCATGCCTTCATGTTCAGGCAAACTATTTTTTATTTACCCAAGGCAAAGGCATATTTCTTTAAGAGAAAGGCTAGCTGTGTCAGCTAGCAATATTGCAAGACTGTTTGGCAAATTGGTTGTGTTGACAGGGTTATAAGTTTCTGTCAGGAACCGTGCCCTGTTGGAAATGAGACTTGCCTTTCCATATGACTGAGAAGAAGTAAATAGAGAAAGAGAAGATTTTTCTACCATTCCTCTGTCTTCTGTGCCTTCTGTGGCAGATGGCAGGTATAATGGATACCTGGAGCTCTTTTAAGTCACTGAAAGAGCTCTTGAAAACAGTAATCACTAGCCTCTTTTGGCACTAAAATTGATTCAGATAATCACTATTAATCATGATCTAAACCAGCAACCCAGATACTTTGTTTAAAGCATCTGTTAGAATCTTGAAAAGAATTGCTAAGTTTTTGTTCTTTTTTTAAAGGCAATTGGATTTTCATTAGCTGTTAATCATAAAAGCAGGTCAATTTGCAGGTAAAATAACCTTTGTTTAATTACATATTTTGTTTGTTACCCAGTGAGAGACTACAGGCTTATAATAATTGTCATGCTGATGTATACCAATATTTAATTGATTCTTTTGTTGAATTAAGTTAATTGAAGTTTGTCTGTCAGACAGGAAAAAGGTAAGCTAGGAACCACAATTTCTAAATTTAAAACAAACTAGTTCACTAGGAAAAACTCTAATTAATACATTGAAGTAATAATTTTTGTCATATTACTCTTCTAGATTTTAAAAGGAAATAAGTCTTTTAAAGTCTTTCATGCATCATCTTCATTTATGTTGACAGAAGAGTTTTTCTCTTCTCTTTCTGGCTAATGAAACTGAATGAACTGGTCATTGAATTAAATTAGCTGAAACATTAAAACAAAGAAAATATTCTTTAACAATCAACAAAAAAATGTGTTGTTTTCAAGAACTGATTTAACATTTCAACAAGCTGTACACCCAAGTTCCGGCTAATGAATTGCTTTTGGCTATCTTTGAAACTTTAGTAGTGATGATGTACTATTGGGCTACTGTTTGAGTATATTTTAAAATGGATTGTTTGTGTTAATTCTTACATTAAATATAATTAAAACTGTAATATACAAGTGTATTTCTAAAATGAAAATGCATTTTTCATCAGCCTTTGGGTTTGTGCTGAATAGGGATGAAGAGAACTTGAATTTGCGGAAGGTGAAAAGCAGTACTTAAGGCTGATTGTTTAAATGACTTTCTTGTGTCAGAACACTGATGATAAATTACACACAAACTGTGCCATGGTCGCGCAGGCCTCTGGAGCCCTGCTGCCTGTCATGTATGCTGGCAGTATGCAGATTTGTTTGTCAAACTTAAGAGTTTCCCACCTGTATTAAGCTATTAGCTTCTGCTTTACAGCAGAGAAGGGCCAGTGGTGGTGGGCATTATTGCCGGTGATGGTCTGAGAGTGTCAAGACACATTTTGCTTCTAGCTGTGGAATGTATGACTGTAGAATGAGCAAAATGTAATGAAATCACATTCCAGAGGTGTTCTGTATGAGTGTTAATTGGTACTTTCTTTTTCAGCTAATCTGCCTGTACCTACTATTGCTGCAATAGATGGAACTGCCTTAGGTGGTGGCCTAGAGCTTGCGTTAGCCTGTGATATACGGGTGGCAGGTAGGTCTGAATTCTGCTACGGAATATGGGGTTGTTAGTGTTATAGCTGGCTTGACTAATCTGTCTGTTGGCAAGCCTTATACGTTGTATTTGACATAGTTTATAACCCATTATTTTAAAGAGCTTTAGCAGAAACCTGTCTACGTACTTGCAAATGTTTCATTTATAACAGCTTAACCCTGTTAGCTGGATTGGTTTTCTTAAACATTTATGTGATTCTTCTGACCCTAATTTTATCAGTCTTGCCAAAAGGGTCATGCAATTATTTTCATTTTTATTTTTTGATTCTTGTGCATTTGAAAGTGCTCTTGATGGAGACTTGATTTTATCTAAACAGGGTGCGGGGAAAAAGCAGAAGTTGCTACTAAGTGTATTATTACATTAGAAATTAAATTATAAAAGTGACAAGAACTCTTGAAAAAGAGGAACCTTGAGCTAATAAACAGTCAAAACTGTAGAGCCTATTGATGGAAAGTAAATGGATATTTGGTTCTGAGCCACTATGTTAGGATTTATAAAGTTATTTGACTTTAGACTTTTCTTTGTCACCTAAAGAATTCAACTAATCTGATACAGAATTCTACCCCATTCTGAGATGTTAAGCAATAGTATCCATTTTCTTTTAGTACTTTCCATTTGAAACCAAGTCTCTGTTACTCAGTGTTATTGCTTACTTACTGTATGAAAATTAATAAAGTACTGAATTTGCCTTGATGGAAGTACTTGGATCTTTCGCTAAAAGAAGATCAGTTGAATCTATTTGTTTCTTTAATAAACAGGTGCTTTAACAATTATTTTTTTTCTTTTTGAAGAAAACTTAATATATTAGCAAACTTCTAGGTCATCAGTACGTATTTTCTGTAGATTTTTCTCCTTCTACATTAGAGTAAGAACTCCTTTACATTCTATTTTTTAGCATCTTCTGCTAAAATGGGCTTAGTTGAAACAAAGTTGGCGATCATTCCAGGTGCAGGTATGAATGTTTTACTTTTGCTACCACAGATAACTAAATAACATATGTATTTAGTATTAGGTTTTGAATTGTTTATGGATTTTTGCTTATTCTTATATGTCTATTAAGTATTTATAGAATGTGTTACTGCTTACTGCTTATATTATTTGTCAAAATTAATTTAAATATGTATTTCTTATCTTCAGGGATGGTCACGTGTATATTATGTTTTTTAGCAAAGGCTTTATTAACTAAGTCAACATGGAGTGATTTTGTAAATGACATTTAATGTCTTGATCTGAAGGCTGAATAATTTTGCAAAGGGCCAAGCGAGGAAGAAGGATTAGCAGTCAGTGTACAAAAACAATTATTTGAAGATCCACTTTTACATAACATTTGGTACTTTAGGATTCAAATTCTGTTTTCAAGCTGCTTGTATATTGCTTGTAAAGAGTTTAAGAACTGAAAGTATAGCTCTGAATAAATCTCTTACCTTGCCAAAATATTTTGAGTCAAAAACTTCTTTTTTATTTGGAAGGCAAATTGACCTGCTTTTCATAGACTCAACATTAATGAAAGTTACATAACAAATAATTTTCAAGAACTTGTTACGAAACCTTTTAAAAACCTATGCTTTTATTTTATGTATAAACCATTGCTACTTGAATTAAGGTATTTGCTGCTCTGGGAGAAGGGCAGTAGCTGGGAATAAAGTGTATCCATGTGATTTTTTTGCCTTCATTTGTGGGACTTCTTGGGATCTTTATACTGTTTCTTTGCTCTTGTTTTCTTTATAATGGATGGAATCTATTTTGAAAACACTATATCCAATTCTAGTAGATACCATTGCAGGTCACATAAAAAAACCAGTAAAATCAACCATAATGGCAGTAGTGGTATGAACTTTGTGTATTAAACTGCCCCATCCGATGACTAATATGGACAATTATTGTACAATTTCAATTGCTATATTATTTTGGTTATTGTTGAGATGTGATTTCAATCAACACTTTTCTGTGGTCAGAGCTACATTTTACCTAAGGAAAACAGTTATGACTGATGTCTGGTTTCTTTTTTGTGTAGGATAAAGATAATAATGTAGATGATTTAAAGATGTATTTAGTGGTAGTGGCGTTGTCATGAAATAATATGCCTTGGCAATAAGTCCCAGTAAAGAAAAAACCAGAAGTTTATGCTGTTTATCTTTGTTGTCAGGTTTTGCTCTTTGTCCTCCCACTCCCTCCTTGCCTAAGTAATTGGAAACATACTCTCCAGCTCAAGATATTCAGCTCAAATTCTCCATATAGTCTCTGTATTCAACTTTTTGAGGTTGTCTTATTTCCTGGTCTTCAGTTAATTATAGATGTTTCAAACTTCTGTGCTTTTACCTTAAAGTGCTAGTTAACTGATTCATTATAAGTTTCATTCAGAATATTTTACTGGTGTTCAAAGACTGAGGTTTGAATTTTTTTCCCCCTCATCCTAAAATAATGATTCAGGTATATGTCTTCAGGTGTATGTCCTTGGAAATGTGACAGATTTGATCTTGTTACATTGACTTTTCAACTTAAAACATTTTGGGGTGTGTTCAGTGATTAATTTTTTTTCCTTATTCCTATCAGCCTTTCTGACAACTATTTTTGTTGAATATATTTGAGGTAATCACAACATTTTCCTGGTCAGCCTGTGCTTACACCAGTCCTATTGAACAATGACAGTGTTTCAGTCCTTTTTGCTTCTTGTCATTCCAGGAGTAACTGATTGTGCCTTTCATGAAAGGCACGAGAAAGAAAGTGAAGGAATTTTGCATATATCATTTAGGTAGAGAAGCCAGATATAACACTTGAACCATAGTCTTCATGTGGTAATGGAATATTTTCTGAGAGTGTTTATTTTAAGCTGCTCTGAGCCAAAACAGAACTGCAGAGTGGAGCTGAAAAGTGAGCTGCAGCTCTTAAGAGGCCTGCATAGATTTCTGCTGCCATCTAGTACACCTGAAATCTGCTGGCAAACTGAGCTGCTTCTTTGAACTAGGTCCCTGTACCTTGGCAAACTATTGTTTTTATTCTGCTCTGTCAACTGCCAGGTGTATGTGATAGATGTAACTTTAAGTCAGGTGATGTGGATGTTTTAGTCTATGTGAAAAACATATTTATACTATGAGGGTTTGCTTTTTTAATACCCCAAAAATTTATAATCAAAGAGCTGTGTTAGAAGATTGTTGCTAGAATTCAACAGAACCAAAATATAGATCCTGGGCATGTCAGCTGTTATGTTTTGGACCTTTTTGTATATTGTGGTTTATTCCATTCTTAATAAAATGTGGTTATCAAAAGACACAATGAGGGGCTGTCTATTGACCAACGAGTTTTAACACAGATTTCCCAGGTGCAGGATATTTTTCTTTTGAATAAGCACAGATGTACTGCAACTTTCTACAGGCTACGCTTGAGCAGTTACTTGAGTTAACCAAAATTAATTGTTCCTTCTAAGTCTGCTGAGGGTCTTAACCAAGTAGGCATTTATAGAGTATGCTTTATTGTAGCAGGTTGAATCTCCTCAGAAAATTCATCCATGGCGGACAACATAGCAAGACCAAGTGGGATGACAGCAGTGTCTTCTTTTATACAATAACTATGTTCACAGACTGTGTTCACATCGTGAGGGAGTAGGATTATCCTTTTGCATTTGGAAATCTAAACCCAGTTTTCTGCACTATGGGAAAAGCTTCAACTGCCGGGACATTAACCAGAAAAAGTAGAAAAAATGTCTGTTTTTCCTCTTGAATACATCCCACTTTCTAGTAAGGAAAGCAAGATTCAAAGAACTAGTTGAAATATGTAACAGAGAGAAAAGATTAGTAACTTGATGATGAGAAAGTTACCTGAGAATTAATATTGAAGGTTTTTGTTTTCTGAGGAGAATCTGCCAATCGTCATTGTACAAGTGTTCTTATGCCACCACAAAAAAAATGTGTCATAGAATCATTTAGGTTGGAAAAGATCTTTAATCTCATGAAGTCCAGCTGTCAAATAAGCACTGCCACATTCACCACTACACTGTGTTGCTAAGTGCTACATCTACACCACTCAAGTGACTCAACCACTTCCCTGGACAGCCTGTCCAGTGCTTGACAACCCTTCAGTTAAGAAATTTTTCCTGATATCCAGTGTAAACCTCCCTTGGTACAACTTGAAGCATTTGTTACTTGGTAAAAGAGATTGACCCTAACCTCCTTTCAGGTTATTGTAGAGAGCGATAAGGTCTCCATTGAGCCTCATTTTCTCCAGGCTTAACAGTCCTCACCACTTCCTCACAAGGCTCGTGCTCCCTTCACTGGCTCTATTGCCCTTCTCTTGACATGCTCTAGCACCTTAATATTTTTTCTGTAGGGATCCAGAACTGGACACATGATTCAAGGTCTGGCCTCACCAGTGCCAAGATCAGGGTGACAATCCCTGCCCTGTCCTGCTGGTCACACTGTTGGTGTCACAGGCCAGGATGCCACTGGCCTTCTTGGCCACCTGGGCACAGCTGGCTCCTGTTCAGCTGCTGTCAACCAGCAGCACAGGCCCTTTTCTGTCAAGCAGCTTTCCAGCCACTCTGCCTCAAGCCTGAAGCATTGCAAGGTGTCGGAATCTGTGGGTATTGGTGATTCCGAGATTGTAGAAAGTCTCTGTCTTTCTGCCCCGTTGCCAAAGAAGAAGCCATAATTCGTCTGTGCTGGTTTCAAGGTTGTTTATTCTGTTTAACTCTAACATGTTCTGCTGCCCTGCCGCAGGTCTGTCCTGCAGGGCAGCGTGTGGGGCTCTGCCCCCAGTGGGATGTTACAAACATTAAATACCACAAACTACCTGTGCTGTATTTACAATAACGTGCCAATATCTGTCACCTACGTTAAACAGTGTGTCCCCAGCCTGAACCAACAGAAAAATGCCAACACTACAGTGAAACATGGAGGGCATGAAGAAGGAGGAAAAGGACAAGACACACCCAATTTGCTCCATCTTGTCCCCTTTGGACCCCTAATCTAGAATCCTAAAATTTTACTTTTGCACCCGTGCCACACTTAATTATTACTTGTATCAAGCACTCGGAGCTTGTAATTCATCCTGTAAGATTGAAAATTCTTTTCCATGGACAGAGATCACAGACAGTGTCTCTGGGGGCTCTGTACAGGGGGGTTCCTGACCCCCTGCCAGGGTCCCAGGCCTTCCAGGGCAGCCAGAGGGAAGCCCTGGATTCCCACAGCAAGGGATTGTCTCCCAAGTGTCTTTTCTTTTTTTATGGAGTTCCAGAAAAACTTTCTGTTCAGTTAGGCTGGTCTTCCTTCTCACTGACTCTGCCACATAGGGATGGTCTGCTCCTCTGCCTTTAGGATTTTCTTATTGAAGAATGTCCAGCCTTCCTGAAAGCCATAGCCCTTCTGGACTGCCTCACAAGGGACTCTATCAACTAGTCTCCTAAACAAGCAAAAGTCTGTCTTCTGTAAATCTGAGGTGGCAGTTCTGCTGACTCTGTTCCTTACTGCTCTAAGAACTGAAAACTATCATTTCATAGTTGCCTGTGCCCTAGATGGCCTCTGAGCAGCAATCCTTCTCTGTTCATAATTAGCAGTAGGGCACCTGGCCTCTTGGCTCACTCACCAACTCTGTCAGGAAATTATCTTCCACGTAGTCCAGGAATCTCTTAGCTGTTTCTTCTGTATTGTATTTCAGAGTGTGTATGGGTTTGTTCATCACCACTCTTCTTCAGGTTTCATCACTGTGAACTCAGTGTATAATTTGTGGTTTACAGGGTAGGGGTTGCAAAAACAAATAGTCTCCAGAATTTTATTAAAAATAGGTGGCCAGATGAAGGGAAAATTGTATTGGCCTCAGATGAAAAGGTTTCAGCACGGACTAACCTGTTCTTCAGCATGAAAGAAAGGGTACAGAAAGAAGCTGTGTGTGTATCTGAGCTGTAGATAATGTTTCAGTCAGAATACACATCACAGTGAACAGCAAGTAGTTTGTACGAGA